GTTCTTATTTTGAATGCAGCCAAATCTTTATATATATATGTATCTTACACACATAAGTTTTAACTTTATATTCATCAATAAACTATTTACATGAAAAAAAAAAGAAGAATTCTCTTGATTGTTGATATTTTCTAACATTGATATCAATTTGTAATATCATTTCAACTCGATCTTGTCAATATTCTTCGTGAAGTTGTTGAATAAATTGTACTTCATATATGACTTTATTAGAAGATAATCAGTCATAATTCGATCTGCTGTTGTTCGTGGCATGAGGCAATCTGTTACAGCGGCCCATACACTTGATATTGGCACATTTTCACAATCATCATAGATTTCGTTGATTTTTGCTTCTATAATTTTGAAAGGTCTTTCAAATTGTTGTCAATTTACTATTATACTAATTTTGCAAAAGCATCTCTAATGGAGTCTATGTCTGATGTTTATAGGTCAAGTTTCACTTGCATTTTTCCTTTTACTATGACAGTGGACTCAAATTTGACCATTAACAAAGACTATTTTCTATTCTAATGTTTATGAACATAGACATTTGCTTGAAATTATATAAGACAAAACTTTACAGAATATACTACAATACTATTTTAAAAAAAATATATAAATCGCTTGAAGTATTTAAGAAATATTTACGAAAACTTTTTTTCGCTGACTTCTGGAACAACTTATATGTGAACAGCTATCGAGTAAACTGTTTTGCTTACAATTTGTTATTTCATTGTTCGTAACAATTCATCGTCATTTCAGCTTTATCTTTCAGTCTTTCTTATTCTTCCAGTTGCACGATGTTACATCCCAAGTGAAAAATAATCTTATATAGACACAATACATCATGGAACATCGGTTATTTATATATGTGAAAATATGCATTGAACATTATTATTGTTATTATTATTATTCATTTCGGTTCTGACAACATTAATTACGTGTTTCAAGAACTAGAAAGAATATTAAAAAAACGAAGATTAAAGCTTGAAAAGAATATTAACTTGTTTTAATCGTTATAATTTTGTTTTTCTTTCGTATTCATGGATTTTGAGTAGATAATCTGGAAAGTACATTATAATGAAATGATCATATTGAAGCAATTCACATCAGAAAACTTCAGGTACACGCAGTAGTCCATACTCTTATGAAGGAATCTCGTCAAGTAATAAATCAATTTTAAGATGAATCTGATTTCGTTCGTTAGTTTCAATAACGCAATATCATGGTCTTATGCTTCAAAATCAATTTTTTTTAATGCAAACTTTGCACAAATAAATTTCTCAATACGACAAGTTCATTGTGAAAGTGTTCAACTTTCAAATATTTCCTATCTTAAGATATAAATCTAAGAACTAGGTTTACTTTTTCCGTATAACAGAATTTTCTGTTATATTAATATCTGAGAATAGAAGATACTTGAAAATTTGTTACTATTACAATGAACTAATCTGATTGAATGTTTTATTTGTTTAAAGTTTGAAGTTAAAATTCCGAAGATGATTTTGAAAGCAATCTGAAGGAGATGAAAGCCTTTTGTTCTAAAAAAAAATAAGTAAGATTGATATAAAGAAAGAAGGAGGAAGGTCAATAAGTTCGCACTGTTCAAGATTTACTCTAATCTCAATATACTCTATCTTATCAGATAAGACTCATCTCCTACGCAGTTTATCACTTGATAAGTGTGTCTCATCAAATGGCATGTGTCTTTAGGAAAATTATTTTTGTATCTCTTGAGATCTGGTTTTGTTAATCAGTCTACTGGTCTTTATTTACATACATTCACAAGCATTTCTATATTTAATAATATAAACGATTGCTAACATTCAATAACAATCAAGATTAAAAACTTCTTCATATAATCAGAAACATGAAAAGCTTTGTTAAATCTAAGTCTAAATGACTTAACAATCTATGCTTAGAAGCACTATGAATACTAAATGAATGCAATTTAAAATTAGCTACAGTCGAAATATTCAAATCGATGGAGTCTTGTAGTTTATTTGTTACTAAATGAACAACTTCTAACACAAATATTAAGAAATCAAAATTTTCGAAGTGTATAAGAAAAAAATTTTTTACCTAAGGTGATTAGAAAATAGCTTCCATCATGAATGTTTCTCCATGTATATTTGAACAATGTTTTACGATAATGTAGAATTTTTTCAATAAGACATAAACTAACATGAATCAGTAACTTTTTTTCAAAAATTTGGTTCATGTAGAAGCATTTTTATTAACCATCGAAGAATTAACATGTGATATGAATAAAATAATTTTTTTTTCAAATACAAAAAAAAATATAATTATAAGTCGCTGTTCTTTTTCTTGAAAATAACCATTCTTTCGTACGAATGCTAAATAAATAATATAAAACAAGGACACCTAAAGCAAATTTAACAACATCTGTGATATAAACAAGTCTTAATTTACTTCTGAAAATAGCATCAAGATAATTATGTTGTGTTACTAAATTTAAATAAAACAAAAATTAATATATCATACTTCAGTGAGTAGTACAGCTAGCTTTTCTATGAGAACTATTCTCGTTAGTATCACATTCATAATATTGAAACAGATCACAATTATTCATTCTATGATCATAATAATATCGTGTTTTTAAACATCATCTGATTAGCTAATGATTCATTGAATAAATAATAATGAAAAATCGTACCATTACTATAGCATGGAAAACTAGAATCTTTTGATAATAAACAAACTCACAAATATATAAGCTAGAAAAAAATAAATATTAAAAGCATGAATACTGTTTGTGAATTAGTCAAGCTAAATGTATTACTGTAGACAAAATTGTTTCAACTAAAAATAATAATTGCAATAATTTTATGTATATCAATACAATGATCAAGTAATAAGATTATATTATCATCTTTTGATCTTAACTATGTTACATGTTTACGAAACATCAATAGATACATTAAAACACAATTAAAATTAAGCATTCTACCTTAATAAATAAAACTAATTTAAAAAATAAAAATCGAACATAAAATAAACATTCATATTTTACTTATTTATTCGAGCAATAACAATAAAATAATGAGCATGTTGTTGACTAATATACATAGGATTGTTAAAAAGTTTGTTCACAATACAAAATTTCATCCTTGGAATCCACGTCTAGAATGTCTTGTGGTATTCGTGAACAAGTATTGAATTGAGCTCCTTGGTTATTGCTTTAGTCAAGCGTGTAGCATCTGGATATGTGTCAAATTTTACTTTTCAAGCAACTGAACAAGCAGAAGCAAGGTCAGGAGAGTATAGTGAATCAGTCATATGTTTGATTTTTTTCATCTTGAACATAATTAAAAACAATATCATTCATATGTGATTTTGCAATTATTATGATGTAACTTAATGCCATTTGGTGTTAATGATAGTCCTTGTTGTGTAAATTTTTAACTTATCTTATTAAACATTCATAACGACAATCTATGGCCTTTATTGATGTTTTAAAAGATAATTCATGAATCAGTAATGGCCTATTTGTCATTAAAAAAAAATTATAAACATTGATTTTTCTTCGAATGATTGTCTTTTTACCACTATTGCAGGATCATCTTCTTTTACTAGCTATGCTTTAGATTGTTCTTTTGATTTCAATTTGCAATGATAAATCCAAGCCTCATCTTTCATGACTATTTCATACACAGTCTCTAGATAACTGCTTTCAAATTTCTTTAAATTTTCAATACAAATCTCAACATGTTGTTGTCGTTATTTTTGAGTGAGTTCATGATATACTCATCTTGACAATATTTTTCGTAGATCAAGGTATTACTTAAGAAATAGTATCTACATTGCCATGTAATATATCTAAGATGGTAGCAAACTAATTAATACTAATATGTGGATCAGGATTCATCGGATCTTTAATGGCATCAATATTTTGTTGAGTAATGATGGTTATTGAACGACCACTCCAAGAATTATCTTCCAACAATTCTCATCCATTTGAAAATCAATGAATCCAATCAGCAACTGTACCGTATGGAATGTAACCTTGTTCATAATGATTAGTTAATTTATCATGAATTTGTGTTGCAGTAAGACATAAAAACAAACGAATTTTTATATATGAGCGTATACGCAGTTTTTCTATTTGAAAATAGAGGCGAAGAAAAAATTCATGAAGAATCTTGCACAATTGACACTTGTGAAACTACATATTGGTAATTTAATACATAACAAATGTCTCTACTAGAATAGGTCAACATCAAGAATAAAAACGACGGAGATGAAATTTTAGACTAAGTACTACGAGAACTTTTTGACTACCCTATTTAAATATGAAATATACTAACAGATATACGAAGATATATAAATAAATAACAACGAATTGTTCATGAATATTTATAACTTTTACTACGTGATACGGATATTGGCATTATTCCACTACTTACACTATAATAAATCATAGAAAATTTTATTTTTTTAATCTTAATGAAAGAACTTTAGATAAAACTGAGATAGGCAAGTCCGAGTCATGATTCGGACCCTAAATTTGAGTGCGATTGACTCAAGTCATTCATTCAAAAAAGTAAAAGTTGATAATTCAATACGAAAATCAGTTTTATAAGAAATTGATGATTTTCTGAAGGAAGGAAATTTAACCAATGATGTTATTTTCCAAAAAAAATCGAAATTCGTATAAATCTCTTAATAAGGTTGCAAGAAAAATCACATGTATTCTTGCTACATTAACATCAATTAAGTGTTTATTTGCTCAAAGTGGTTTTTTTTTATGAGATCGCATTGTTCAAATTTTTTACAAGCTAATATTCGAATTTTAACATCGCTGAAGTGTAATAAGATATTAATTTAAATGTTAATAAATATTTTATGCTGTTAAACAACTTTAAGTGCAGGTTTTTGTTTATAAAAAAAACTGATGTTTTACTGTCATGTAGAACTGTAAGAAACAGAAGAGTTGGTTTTGCTGCCCTTACTTTGTTGATCAGGCTATAGTGATTGTATCATTTTATTTTACGTAGAAGTATTCTTATTTTGTTTTCTTTTTGCTGAATAACTTGACTCGCCCATCCTTGAGGTAAAACATCTTTTCGTTTAACTGAACTCCTTAATCCTTCTAAACTAATATAATCTAATTGATCAACATCAGTTTCTCTAAATAGAATGGCTGTTAATTCTGATAATATTGCTTCTAAATCCAATGATAATGATTGTTCGAGAAAACAATAAAATAATAATTTCATTTGATGAAAATAAATAATTCCATCAGCTAAAATTATATTTTATTTATAACAAATTGAATTATTTTCATTTTAGTACCCATTTTAAGCATACAGTTAATTCAGAATTTACAGAAAAATATATTTTATATGTAAATCCTTGGATTTTGTTTTAATATTTTACTAAATACTACTTTAAAATAAAATCTATTTTTAAATGTTTCTATATCCATACAATCTTCCATAGACATATTATTCTGATGTTTACTAACTGTGGTATTAAATTGATAGTCAAATATATTCTGTACGATTTGATATTCTACATAAGTTACAAATTAAATTCTTATTTAAAGAAACTCTACTTTAAAAATATACTCAACTACTTTGTATATAGATCCAATGCATCATTCAGATGCAAAAAATAAACTACTTAGATTACTATTAAACAAGAAATTATCGAAGTAAATACATAAATTCTTGAAAACTTATATGTGTACGATTATGAAAATGATGTTGTCATGGTTAGATGACAAAATATCGAAAGTCAAAATGTCGAAAAATTCATCACCTGTACTAAAAAAAAAAATATGAGAACGTGGTTATGGGAGAGTGTGTGGATGGATTTGGCCTGTGTCTGGGTACGAGTAGTAGTGTTAATGTGGCTGTCGCTTTTCTCTTCATGCACCTACACCCACATCTTTTTATTATTGTTTCACTCAACAACAACAACAATACAAAAAATCTACACTTTCTTCCATATGACAGAGTAAATGGATATAAAACGAAGTATTGGAAAACTTCCAAGTGTCATTCAATATGCAATATTTTTGATATTTTGATTTTCGACATTTTACTCTTTCAATATTTTGCTCTTCCACATTTTCATTTTTGATGTTATGCAGCTTTGCTTGTTGTCATCGTTGTATAAAGAGCTTCTGTATTTAATAAAGCAATAGTTATAGATTTCATTATGTGAAATGTTATAAGCTGATCTTAAATTGATATAAATATGTAATACATAACTTTTATGAAACATGATCTAAAAGGAATGTTGAAGTATATAGGGTAGAAACTTGGACTCCTTCATCCCACAGATAGTGACAGACGACTTAACAATGTCTCCCATTGTTGTCACAGACCATGCAAGACGTTATTTATACACTGTCACAGGCCGTATGTTAATAACATCTTGTTCTAACATATGAACTACTTCTTTATTGTATTTCTGGAAGATTAAGTAAAAAGATTATGAAGAAATGTGTCCAAAAATAGATAGAAAAAAAAAACAATTTCCCTATGATTAACAAGAGCAGCTGCATCTTTTTTGTACCTTTTAATCCTAAAGGAGTTGCGCTAATAGCCTTTAGAAGGTCGATGGAAGCCTTAAATATTGCGTCAGAATTATGTTTCTCTTCTATTTTCTACTTTATCAAATTGAATAGTATTACATTTAAAGAAAATATAATCTCTTTTTTTTTAAATAAAACTCTAAGAGATTTATATTATCACTAGACTTCGCAAATACTTGAAAATCAAAAGAATATTAATGATTCTTGTTTGTCTGTCGATTAAAAATTTTTTTTGATTAATCTCTCTTATTATTGCTGATTAATAAACAAAGTTCGAAAACAGATAACTTAAAAAATTAAGTTTTTTTTTTTTGAAACTAATAAATTTACGATTAGCAGCTCTATTACCAATTGTAAGCTTTTTTATTTCTTGTCCTAAGATTCAAAGTTTTCTTTTTTTCTTTTAACACAATAAGCTAATCAAATAAATAAGTATTTAACTTTTAATTTCCAACATATAATATGTAAATAGAAATATTAAAACAATAATAGTTAAATCATCTTTGAATTTTTTAATTTAACCATAATAATTTTTTTTTTTTTTTGTTTGCTCTTTCTTATTTAGAAAAAAGAAAAACAATATGTGTCATGGACATTGAGAAAAAACACAAGACAACAAAAAAAAAAAGAATAAAGAAAAATTCGAACGTCGAATGATCGATGCGTAGCAAGAACACAGAAGAGAAAAAGAAAAGGACAATTTTAATAGATTACGCAAGACACAAAACAAAATGAAACGCTCAATAATTATAATTCTTTTGTTAGATTTGCAAAGATTTACATGTAACATAAAGAATTGATAATAAGTGACTTTGGTTTGTCACATTAATTTTCTTTTAGTTGCTGAACACATCGGAGAAGATGAAGAGAGAAAGAAGAATAGACGAAAAAAGCAATAATAAATGCGCACAAATGACGACATCAAAATTCAAAGAAATAAAGAAGAAGAAGAATAGAAATACGAACACCGGTTATAAAGAAAAATAATGAGAGAAGAAGAGAAAGAGAGAGATAATAAAACATTCGAATTTGAAAGTTATATCATTTGTCTGTTTTGTCTTTGTCTAAGAAGCTCCACTTGTAACAGCTGATGACTCTTGTTGTTGATGATGATGATGACTCATTGGATCCATCATACTAGTTGGACTTGATGATACAGGATAACCACCTGGATACATCATCATCATTGGATTTCGAAATTGTGACATTTGAGCATATGATCCAAAGATATCTTAAAAATAAATATCTAAGAACAAAAAAAGAAATTCAAAATTTTAATTTTTAACTTACCATGAGGCGCTGTTGGATAACCTCCACTAAATTGATAATGCATAGCAGCAGCTGCAGCTGCATCAGGAGAATATGGACCAAAACAATCGGTAAATTCAGAGGGTATAGTCGCTAGAAAATAAGAAAGAAAAAAAAAAATGAATAATAAAAATTTTAATTTCTATCATTTTTCATCATCTGTATTATTTCACGCATTCGTGCAAATAATTAACTTTGACAGCAAAAGGAAAAAAAAAAGAAGAATGAAGAGGAACAATTGCTCAAGTGTCTTTATGAATTAGATTGATTGTTCTTTTTCTTTAGTAATTCTTTCACAAATCAATCTAGTTTCAACTATCGATATGTCATACGACATTTTTATCAATTCAAATCTAACCAAGAATAATTAATTGTCAAGCAAGAATAAAACGTACTCATCGGATATATACAAGGCATTTAGAAAAAAAAAAGCAGCAGAAGAAAAAAAAATATGAGCAATTAAACACACACGTACACATTGATGCATAAGTAGGAATTCTACCTTGTTGAGCATGAGCTGGAAAAACAAAAGGAACATATATTTATATAAATATATATTTTATGATTTCAATATTATGTAAAATTTATCAATGTAGAAGGAAGCATTAGATATAAAATAGTGTTAGAGCGTTATACACTCTTGCCTTTCATTAAATATGAAGGGGATAATTGTTGAGAAATAACTGGTAATGTTTTAACAGGATTTGTTCGACGATGTAATTTTCTTTCATTGAATAATAATTCTCGAGATTTTTCCTGACGTTTATTAGATCGTTTTGTCATAGCAATACGAGAGGATACCATCGATGGTATACATAATGGATTTTCTTCATTTATATTATCATTACCATTTATGTAAAACTTACCAGCACGATTAGATTGATCAATCATTGGTTGAACAATACGACGTCTGGCATTGATAAACCTTTATAAAGATAAAAAATAAATAGAAGTTTCAACAATACACAAACAATATCTATTTTGTTTAATGACGAAGATGCGCACATATCGTTTTATGTTAATTGAACATGTTTATTTTATTGTATAGAAGTTAATTATCATCTGTTACTTTTCTTCTGATGTTTTTCCGTTACATTTATCAATAAAAACTTGATTATTTAAGTAAATTTAACCTTTTTTTCTTTCTTATGATAAGAACAAATATGACCTCCAAAAACCTGTCAGCAGGAAAAAGAAGATAGACAGATTTGTTTACAATATAAAGATATCTCAGCAATGATAAATGATGTCCATCTTGTGTAAAAAGCGATACAGTAACGATCTTCTCCTTCAAGATATGTATATACAAACAAGGCAAGCTAATGTATAACTTTAGTTTCTCCTCCTCGTTCTCTTAATGTGATTTTAACGATGGTGACGATCGATTCTTGTCATCAACATCCTGCCAGATGTTTTTCTCGAATCTTTCATATAAAAAGAAAAAAAAAGCTACAGACAAATAAACAAAACAAAAAAAAAGGAATAGTTCGAACGTGATCTATTTATTGAACGACTATTACACGCATTACTGTCATCAACATTCACGCAATAGATTCTTTTTGATCTATGTTTGCGTGCATATAGATAATAATAATCACCTTCATTGTATCAAACAGATCGTCACGAAAATGTTCTTCTTTTGACAGTTCAAATGGACTGTCTATTACACTAGAAGATCTTTCCTAATTTTCTATTTGCACGCTATAGTCAGCTACGCTAGTATCAATGAACGGATTGTTTATTTTATTAATTGACCGTCCTATTGCTTTATGTTGATTATATGTCAAAAAGATATATGTATATATATATATATATAGCTAGGTTTGATCATTATTATCGCCGACATATAGCAATAACAAACTGACAAAAAAGACCATACCGGCAAATGGCAACAAGTCCCAAATTGAGAATAAACATCATATATATATATATATATATTTTTAATTGGTTAAAAATTCTATTAAATTTTAACCAATAAGAATGAAATATGATTAACTTACCAATTATTAACTAAATAAAGAAAAGAAGAAATTAGAAATCTAATTAAAAAATAGAAAAAAAAATTTACCTTGTAAAATTGTTAAACCAGTATCTTGTGCTAATTGTTTTTTTTGTTCTTCGGACGGATATGGATGCTAATAAACAAAAAAAAAAAAAAACAAATTTAATCTTAAAATTAATTTCATGTATATATATATATATATAAAGTTACAGTTAAATGTTGAAATAACCATGCTCGCATAATATTTGTAGCTACTTTAGGAAAAATTCCACGTTTTTTTTGACGTTTTTTTGAATTATCATCAAGATCATCTTCACCACCTGAACCACTGTTATCCAAATTGTCACCTGAATTAAAGAATAAAA